CGCGATAAGAAAACCCCATGACTAAAAAGACAAAAAAATATTCATTGATAGCTTCTTAATTAAAAGCCTACTTTGAAAATCCAAGTCATCCACAAGAATCATAAACATAGTTAAAGTATACATAGCTTGCCCTGTATATGTAAGGGTGGGCAGATCATAGCATATGGTAGGGATCTCATTACATATGTGAGGCAGATCACAACAAAAGATGGGGATATGAACTACAATGAATAGAGAAGATCATAGCATAGGGTGGGAAAAGTCATCTATGCATCCAGATTAACCCTATATATAAGTAATCACCTAAAAAAAAGTTACTCATAACGACTCTTTAAAGAAACAATTTCAAAGAAATTCAAATGCAGGTGCAAAGTAGAGTGTGCAATTGGGTACAGCAACACAGAAACGCTGTTAATTTCAGCTCAATGACCTGACCTTTATATTTACAAAATAAACACTAAAATGTTAATTTATTTATCATGAACATCAACAAAATTTACCAATCAACCTGAATAGATTAGTTAAACTACTAGAAATCATGACTGCACATCCCTCCCTATTTTGCTGAATGGTTTAGCCCAAATTAATATCATGGTTATCAGTGACCAGTTGAAAATGCTAACCTTCTCACCACCAGACCTTTTCGACCAATTATTTCTGCACTTTTTGGAATATCCTTCAATATTTCTAGATATGAATCCTAATTTTGGAGCCAACAAATGAAATTGAGTCAATTGTCGGTTTTTACTTATTTTTGTCCCAATCTTCTGAAGGAAAGTGCAGCTTATAAACAGAACTATTGAATTTTTGTGAATTTATGATGAAAAGAGGGAACTGGTGGTGAAAAGGCTAAACATTTAGGTTATTGAACAAAAAGTTACAGGGCGCCATCTATTGATAATATTTAACATAATAAAAAAATAAAAGAAAATGCTGAAAAAAGGGAAAAAAAATAATTCAAAAAATTATATAATTCCTCATTCAAAAGAAAAAAATAACTCACAATCTTGCACTTGAAAAGCAAAGGTCTTATTTGGTTTTAAATAGGCATCACGAAATGTTGGAAAAATACAGCCAATCAAAAAACTGTTTTTCAATTAATGACAAAAACAAAAATATATTAAAGTTTAAAATAAAAATAAATGCATTGCCTAGTAGCAAATGATCACAGTGGAGTTTCACAAGTGAATATCTTACTTGTTTTCAAATGCAAGTAAAATTCAACTTAGTTTCATCGTAGACGAATGATTTTGGACGCATGTAAATGCTCGATGTGTTATGACATCCGCCATGTTTTTCCCATACACGAGTTGAACTGAAACTGTGTTCTTTGACCTGATAGGTCAAGTCACTTATTAACCAATCCAATTTCTGGATGGTTCCAACGTATTCAAATTACCATTTTGATAGCTCATTTAAATACGTTAATGACGGTTCAGCGAACTTGTGGCAAATGCAACACGAAACGGATATACCAGTGTTGTAGTACAAATTTTGGCTTCAATTTTGATAAGAAAACGGCGCGATTTTGTTTTTAAACCAACAAGTTAGTTGATTTTGAAAGGTAAACTGAGCATTGAAGAAGCATTTAACATTGTTTACAGTGATACAGTGTAACAGCTCATTGTCGAAACAAAGTTTAACAATACACGCTAGACACTAATAACATCATACTCTTGAATAGGCGACTATGGAAAACCTAAATTAGACCTAAATTTAGGCGTCAGGAAAAATTGAAATGTTAAACAAGAGATTTCACGGTACTCTGCATTGATGGTATACTTACAGCATACATATAGACAAAGCTGCATCCAGCTGCTCCGGCAGTTAACAGGAGTTTGATGAAAAGTGTGAAGAATATACTACCTCTAAGAAATGGCTGAAAGAAAAAATAGAATTAAAATATTATAGCTGCAACCAGCGTTATTGGCAAGATTTTGTTGAACATCAAACGATGAGCCAAAAATCTGGTAAGAACTATCCTTATAAAAACCTTTTAACCAGTAAGTTATTGTCGTCATTTCAATAAATCGTCAATTGCTGGTTTCAAATTCCGCTCTAGATGAGCGCTAAACGCATCTAAAAAATAACCTATTGAGTACATAGGGTTAAAATTTAAAGTTCACTTGGATGCAGTGGCAATGTCATTCCATAAATTCTGAAAGGAAGAATATACAAGAAACAAAATTGTACTCTGGAGCGCATTGTATTCTAATTTTAAAGGGAGGTAGTTGGCGTGCCATGCATGCATGAGATATGGGTCTCATATAAACAAAGACGGTGACTTTGACTGTTGCGCATACCAAGGGTACAAACTGAGACGTTACCAACTTTAATAGATAATTTTTAGGTGGTTGGGAGGTATCAGAGAAGTCACTGGTGATAATTAGTTCAAGTCGCACCCAAGTCAAAACTCATAATGAATTTCATTAGAAGAGTTCATTGGATTATTGGAAAATCAATATTTATTAACACAAATGTCACACATGCACAGCAAGAGAACCACCACCCTTTAACCACCTGCTGAAAGCCTCCATAGACATACCAAATCAATTGGGAAAAGGGTCAGCAGGAAATATGTTAATAGGAGATAATTTACGTCAAAGTTTTTTTGTGTGATATGGTTGTATTTATATTGCTGATCAGAAAATCTTACTTGCAATTCTGTGACTTGACAATGCCCTAGATGGTGGAAACTACATTACAAGGAAATGACTGATAAGAAAATTTACTTACCAGCTCTCCACTCTCTCTAATTTCTTCTTTTATCATTTTAGGCTTACAGTATGTTAGCAGTACAATAAAGAACTAAAAAAAAAAGTTACAAAAATGTGTTTTATTGATTATTGACTGATTATTAAAATTAGTTTAATTTAGCACTGATATATAGTGCATTTTACCACAGAACCAACAGCCAATGTTTAGGAATATGTCACATAGCCTCTTCATATCATAATGGATTTATGGTAATTTAAAATGCAATTCCAGTATCAACGACGCCTAGTTTAACACAAAAACCTATGAACCAGACTCAAAGGCACATGTGTTAATGATTGATTCTATGCTTGTTGTTTTCACCTCTCCATTTGAGACTATCGCACACTAGCCCATGATTGGGGGAGGGGGAGTCAACCCAAATACACTGTTCCACCCTTGGTTAGCAAAATCCACTATACCACTCATGATCTGCAATGTCAAAGCATATATACAAGACAGAATTTGATATGTAAAAAAACAAAAACAAAAAAACAAGCTGGTCTCTGATTGGTTCAAATAGTAGATATTAGGGATGGATGGCCAATCAGGCATAGTGTTCATGATCTGTAGTTACATGTAGTTAGTCACAAGCTATAACATCACACAAAATTTGAGGACATTACAACAAACACCTTCAGTGCAAGGGAACCTATTTCCACATGCACCTCAATAATGTTATAATGCCCACACCGAACACCCTTAATGAAAGTGTGTATACCAGTCACTGATAGCGTACTGATTGTTGCATCAGACTCATGATTGGTAGATGTAAGTTCAAATCCTATCTGGGGCTGAACTCAGAAAAAGGGTCGACCACTACCCTGGGTGAGTGTGACTCAATGTCCAATTCCACTAGCCAAGATTCATTCACTCATGAATGCAACTTTGGGGGAACTATTGTTAATGTCCACCAGTGCGCATCAAATCAAATTGCCGTGTGACAGAGAGATGACCGCACAACCCTGTCATATGTAGTCCCAAACATGGAATATGGTTTCTGTGAACTACATTGTATATCACAGCACTTCTACTTGCAAATTTAAACATTAAACAAGCAGAGCCTCGGCTGAGATATCTCTGCTGTTATCAATGCACATTTCAATTAAACAATTGAAGATATCATCACAAAAGGAACAAATCTGAGAGAGGTCCACCTGAGGT